GGCATAAACAGTAATATTCTTTGAACTTGATAAATATTCAGGTCAATAACAGAGCCATAACTTTGTGTTAAATAGTAAAATCTGGAAATGCCAATGAGATGTATGCATACTACATAACAAATCAAGGGCCATAAATCTGAGTTATAAGTATCTGACCGGAACAAGGCGACTATATGCACATCTCCTCTTAGTATCCCATAAAGTTTCATTGAATTCCAGCCAGTAGTAGCAGAGAAGTAGCGAGGAAACAAATATTTTTCTATATGCATACTGCATAACTAATCAAGGGCCATAACTCGGAGTTTAAGTGTCTGACCAGAACAAGCCGACGATATGCGCATCTCCTCTTGGTATTAAAGGTTCCCATAATGTTTCGTTGAATTCAAGCCGGTAGTTGCAGAGAAGTAGTGCGGAAACGATTTTTGCTCTATATGCATAATAAATAACTAATCAAGGGTCATAACTCTGAGTTACAAGGTCTGACTGGAACAAGCCGACGATATGCGCATTTCCTCTTAGTATTGACGATTCCTATAAAGTTTCATTGAATTCAAGCCAGTAGTTGCAGAGAACTACTCCGGAAACGATTTTACTCCATATGCATATTGCATAACTAATCAAGGGCCATAACTCTAAGTTAAAGTGTCTGACCGAAACAAGCCGACGATATGCACATCTCCTCTTTGTATTGAAGGTTCCCATAAAGTTTCGTTGAATTCCAGCCAGTAGTTGCAGAGAACTACTCCGGAAACGATTTTTACTCTATATGCATACTACATAACTAATCAAGGGCCATAACTCTGAGTTAAAGGGTCTGACCGGAACAAGCCGACGATATGCGCATCTCCTCTTGATATTGATGATTCCCATAAAGTTTCGTTGAATTCCAGCCAGTAGTTGCAGAGAACTACTCCGGAAACGATTTTTACTCTATATGCATACTACATAACTAATCAAGGGCCATAACTCTGAGTTAAAGGGTCTGACCGGAACAAGCCGACGATATGCGCATCTCCTCTTGATATTGATGATTCCCATAAAGTTTCGTTGAATTCCAGCCAGTAGTTGCAGAGAACTACTCCGGAAACGATTTTTACTCTATATGCATACTACATAACTAATCAAGGGCCATAACTCTGAGTTAAAGGGTCGGACCGGAACAAGCCGACGATATGCGCATCTCCTCTTGATATTGATGATTCCCATAAAGTTTCGTTGAATTCCAGCCAGTAGTTGCAGAGAACTACTCCGGAAACGAAATTCGGACGGACGGATGGACGGACGGACGGACGGACAACGCCAAAACTATATCCCCCTCCCGATTCCATCGGCGGGGGATAACAACTCTTCCTGTAACAAAATTCTTGTGATGAACAGATTAAAGAAATATGTGAAAAAATCCTTTTTTTTTTCTGTCGATTTGTTTATGGATAAGAACATTGGTATGTTGACTCTTAAATGGTCCCTTTCTTTTATTAGATACTATAGCGTAAAGTTATACAACAATGGCATGTTAAAGTTAATGACTACGTTCGGTATTAACACTTCATAATACAGTGATGCATTCTAGACAGTAATGAACAATGTCTGAATATTTATAATGCATTCAACTGCTTTCATTAACACACCCAATAGCACAGCAAACTTTCCTTGAGTTGTATAATAAATGTAAAAGTATTAATCATTCATCGACATATGATTCCACTATACATTTCAATTTGAATCAAAGACAATTATTTGCATGTAAGTGCTCTATTTATAAAAGATGTTACATCAACTTTTTTGAACAGGAATAGGGTCTAATATTACAACATCAACACAAGATATCTTAACTTGAAACAATAATTTTATTTTCTCTTCGTTTGACCATTCAATTACAGAATGCAACGTATTCATATAAGAAAATGCTTTGTACAATGGTACAATCATAAAAATTGTTTATTACTATATACGAAGCGCCAAAAACAAAAACAAAAAAAACAACGACAACAACAAAAGACAAAACAAATGACAACGTGTTGGTATGTGTAAACGTTTACTCTCCAATGTATGCTTTGAATTAAACAAAAACACTGTAATTTCATAACTTGCACGTTTTCTGTCTGCCAAATAAAATATTCATACAATAAGAAGCGCTTTAATATTCAGTCTGTCGACTTCCTTATCTATGATAATTTCGTGCCAGACTACAGAATACTCTTCAATATTACCACAGGTTAATGTACTGTTGTCAACTTAACATTTTCATCATTCAAATTAGCCTTCTGAGATTAGTCTCTAATCGTATGCATAAGTCGGTCGTACTTTTGAAGATAACTCACAAAATTACAAAACGCATGTAAATGAATAGTTTAGAAACCTATGTCTGTATTATAATAACTGTTTTACAAACTTATCTTACTTAATTATACTCTAATCAAAATACAAATATCTTATCGGACGTTGGTTGTTATGTCGGTGTTGATAACATAAAACGACAAAAAAATAAAATTAATGAACCATTACATCATTCTTAATCCAGTGGTTGTCTAATGTCGGGAATAGGGTTTTCTGTTATTTAACACTTGCTTTGCAACGACTGCTTATATATACATGTATATATTAAAGGGAAACATTATTGATACATCAACAACTTTGTACCTTTCAAATTTGCTATACTTTTTAAAGTACCCGATAAAAATAATTTCGTTGTACACAATTTTTAAGAGAAATAAAGACCAGGTCTCTAAATAAAGGAAAATGAAAACAAATCGAAGACGCAGTTTTGATCAAGTTTGTGCTTAAAAGATATTAAAATGATGCCCCGCAACACTGACAGTGGTAATCGGAAAAGTTTTCACATCTGTCATACAAGCTTCGCAGCTGCTGAACATGTTGTTACTAAAATTATGGAACGATTGATCCCTCGAGAGCTATGTTAATTCAAACACAGAATGACGACAACGTTATTTCATAATCAGTTAAATGACAATTTCATTTGCCTTTGGCTTACAAATGAATTCGGCGTAGAATAGTACTATGTAGCTATCTTTTATCATTACATAAATGAGCGAAATAAATGTGCCTCAAAATAAATTTTTTTAAAGTAAATTTCATATAAGGAATTCATTACTACTAAAAGTATATATACATAAAATATTATGCTCTTGTTTCTACAAACTTCGTACATATACTAAGTCTTGACGATTGAACCCGTTGACCGTGATCGAGGGGTTAGAGTCGATGACTTCTAATCCAGTTACCTCTTTGGCGTCGGTTTGATCCCTGGGAGATGCTTTGGTAGTTAAGCGCGGAGAAAGGTAGTCTAGTACTGGTGTAACTCTCCATGAACGATGGTTAGGAAACTACCCGCCTATATGATTGAAAAGGCGTAAAATGAAACAAGCAAACAAGAAAGAACCCATTGAAGCCGTAGAAAGGTGGGGGTTGGTTGTTAGAGCTCATGAACTTAACAGTATCTCTCTTGAAAATACGAGATAAATCCGAGTCTGTAATTTTACCTACTTAACTTTTGTTGCCATTGTTCCCGAGTAGTTTACCTTTTAAGAAGTTTCATTATCATGAAAGAAACGTTCTTCGTAGAAGTGACATTTCTTCACCTTCATAACGTGCAGACATTTTTATTGATAGCTATTTCCAAAATAAGAATTTACTTTAATGGATATAGTGTAAAGACATGCAAACAACGAAGTAAACACGAAGACCTTCAATGCTTCAATAAGCAAATGACCGTCTGATGAAAGGTTTGCATCATTATATATCACATTAAATCATGCACTCTATCCTGTAAAACCAGTCATTTAGGTAAAACAAAACAAAACACCAGGAGAAAACTGATAAGAAAATATGATACTGTGAAATCAAAATGACACAGATTTTTGGTTTTAACGTTATTATTACAAATAATCTCTGTTCTTTAAGAGGATTTTGACGTTTGCTAACTGGACACCAGCGTTGATGAAGTAAAGTGTTAGTTCCTAATTCTATTTGTTCATTTGACATTATTCAAAGTTTTTTAGATGAGTTTTATTTAGAAATAATTGATATGTAAAAATTATGTAGAAAGGAAGTTAAATTTTGTTATATATCTATCGTTCATAAGACAAAAGTACTGTTCATTCTTCACAATCAATATCTGCAACAAACAATGTTCTTTAAATAGGGAGATAGTTTACAATAAGTATTCAGACAAAGTTCAAATTCAACTAATATTGTTTATATGTTGAACAAGAGCAAATGTGCAAAACAAATGAACAAAGATCATCAAGAAAAGGCGGCATTCAATATACACAAAAATCGTGAAAATTGCCATGATTGCCCACACCTTTATACATTTTTTGTTTACATAATGGTTGAATATCCTTGTCTTCTCTTCCTCCTCAAATGAGTACCTTTATAACGATATCGGGCATGAAACTTGACCTCGAGGTTATGAAACTTTTTATGAGCTCTGTTTAAAATCCCAGATGTACACTTTGTGCCGGTTTTAAACCAATAAGATACTCATGCTTTTTACCTCATAACACGGTAATATCTAAAATTGTTTAAGGCTAGGACTTGAAAAATGAAAGAGATCTTCCCGAAAAAGTAGGCCTTGGCAATTTGGCACAACTGTTTTTTTACAGAGTGAGGAAATTTTTTTCACCATTTAAAGCAAACTGTAGATTTACATCCATTGCGAATTGTAGATATGGCAGGGAAACTGTGTCATTACATTAATTATAAAAGACTGAATGAGATTATAACAACTGTTAAGACGGCAAGACATACCACAAGAATTTACTTTGTTAAATGCAAGAAAAAAATTAAAAACGCCCGAATAGGTTTTCGACATCAGTAAGCTATTTAATTTCTTTTCATGAAAGTAATGTTTGATACGTAAGAATATGTACTAATTAGAGGGCTACATGCTCCGTTCCGCAATTATTTAATACCCCGATAATATTTAAGCAACAATAAGATTGTGTATGGAGATGTTAAACAGAAAAATTAAGACTTAATATTTCTATCTTCTTTTTATTTTCAGTCAACTCTTTCAATACATAAGAAATTTAAAAGGAATGCTTCTTTCTGTTTATTCCGCTGAAAAAAAAGAAAGAAAAGTAACTATTACATATTTTTTCACCATATGTCAAGTATATTTACCTGTTAAATGAATGTGGATATAACATTCATCATTTATAAGATCTGGGTAAATTTGTCATATTTTACATCAATTTCCGTAAGCGTTTGTATAACAAGGAGCAACAAAAAACCTGTCAACTAGGAGTTTTCTGGTTATTATTTGATATTGTTATTTAATGCAAAGCAAATATTACATTAATAAAACTACTGACATAAATGACCAAGTGAATTTATTTCAACATTTAATGAATTGAATATCTTAAAATAAATTGTTACAGAATGAATACAAAATAGTAAAAGTTAAGAGATGAAATAGTTTCTAGGGTATGACTTAAGTCTACAAACATTATTATTCTAGACTTGATAGCGAATAGTAATCAGACGAAATTTAATACTTTAAAGTTATGAACTCAGTGCCATCAATATTTTTCGTAAAACACAAAACAATACAGAGCAGCTTTAACCATTGACAATATATAAAAAGTCGGCCAAAATAGCGTAAATATTTTCGAAGAATAACTTTTTCATTTGTTTGTTTTGTTTGGTTTTACCGCGTACCAACACAATTCAGGTAATATAGCGCTGAAACAGGAAATAACGTTTTGGCTAACCTCGGGTTTCACGAAATTAAAAAAACACCTTATTTGCTGGAGCTATTATATGCATTGACTCTAGTAACCCATTAAGTCGCCTCTTACGAACCTGCAGGGATAAACGGTGGCTGAAAATCTGATGCATCAACTCTCCTTAAAAGCAACCCCTCAGTCACAAGGGGGACGTTATAGCTGATAATAAAAATGATATTATTAAATATCATATAATTTAATGAATTTACAATAATAATTTAAAAATCAGATGAAAATGATAAACGAACTGGAAAGTGACACTTACGTCAGTCTCATCGACATTTGTCAGAATCACATACTCGGCACTTTGTTATGGCGTCTGCTCCAATGACATAGTTTGGCTGCCTGCAATCGTCGGAAATTTGATCGTCATTAGGACAAAATATTTCTGGACACACAGACGAATCCTCTGAAGATTCTGAAATAAAAATTTGGTTTTATTTACAGGACTACATTAATTTTGTCATCATAATTGATTTAATTAGATTATTCGGTGTCTTTATCAAGAAGGCTTTTACCTATGATCATCCAATATATCTCATACATAAAGTAACAAGCATTAATTTAAAGCAAAATGTTATCCTTGATAAGTTGACAGAGGCATGGATTTTATGTACAGCTCTGGTTCTGGATATTTATCTTCAAAAATAATTTTGTTTTCACTTACCTGATTGCTCCACCACTAACAACACTGCCAATGACAGAATAGTAACGAATAGTAAAGCTCTCATTTTACAGCAAACTGTGGTTGCAAAGTATCATGGTTCTTCCCTTTGTAGAGTTTTTATACTTTTGAGTACAGGCCAATTGGATTTTAATTTGTTTCTCAGTCAGTATGCTGTAAATACATTTTCATATTCAAAATCTATTTATATTACTTATCCAAAATAGTTGATAACAATGTATTACTCGATTGGTATCTTTGTAATACACAAGTAATTAAACCGTTTCTGATAGTAAGTAGATATATTGTATAAGTGTTATAGTATCGTAGCCAATTTTGTGATAAAAACAATCGAGTCACAGACTCAAGCCGTAAAAAAATAATATTCATTTCTTACGTATAATTGAAAAGGAAAATTGCAAGAACGTTTTTTTTTACCTTTTTATCAAATGACGTTTCTGATCAGCTTGGTCTTTGTGGCTGTACGTTATTGTAGTATGCGTTCCGTAAACAACGCTCACCCGTGTTGAAATTCAACGCTTTTTGCAGCTGTAAAAAGTTGAACCGTTATTCACTTCAGTGTTGCTATATTTTTTCTGGTACGCGGGATCATTGATGCCAGCACTATTAAGTGTTGAGAATTGAGTACCGCTCTTGAATACCGCTTAAGCCGGTGCTATGGGGTGTGAGGGATGTTGCACTTATTCATTATCCCTTATGTACAGACTCAAACCGAGTCTGCATATTTCATGTAATTTTCTGTGATACGAGGGATCACTTTGTTTCCAGATTTTCATAACTGTCATCAGTACTATTTATCTTATTATGACTATTACTTTTTCCCCACTTCAGACTGAAAGTGAAATTGATTTTCTTCTGTATTTACATGCTTGATACTATACTGATATATTGCCCATAAAATATATATAATGCATAAATTTACAAACATTTATATAACTATAACCGCAGGATATCATAAAACACATATTTTATTAGAAAGGCCTTAAATAATTCGAAGAGCCCTTTCAGGCATCAATTGCTATGAACAAATTGACAATGTATCACTGGTTGTTAGTAAAACAAACAACAGATGTTGCTAATCGTTAATAATTAGACTGTAGCCTGGAATAATATTTGGTAAACTTCAAAACGGTTATAATATCTGACAATCCTTTTTTCAAATATTTTTTATAACAAAAAAGTACTGCTTTACAATGCATAAATATGAGCTTTACAACACATAATTAGGTAACGACGTAGACAGCTTAATCACACAAACCATCATTAATATAAAAAACGGGAAATTCGTAAACGTTTCTAAAAATAATATTAATATAAAACAAATAATGAAATTATATGATATATGGTAATTTAAATACCTATATAGTGCTATAACATGTTATCAAATGACGCTTTGTACATGTATATATACTTGTGTTTAAATTTAATACCTTAAGGGGCAAACATTAATAGGTATATATAAGCCGCTACATGACAAAACCAGCACAGTGCGCTTGCGACCAGCATGGATCCAGACCAGCCTGCGCATCCGCGAAGTCTGTTCAGGATCCTTGCTGTTCGCTGTCAGTTTCTCTACTTGTAATACGGTTTGTAAGCGAACAGTAGGGATCCATGCTGGTTTCAAACGCACTATGTTGGTTTTGTCATGGCGCCGCTCATATGTGTTTCACATTCTTAGTCTTAGAGTTAGGTAAACGCATTATGACAGCAATTTGTTAGATCTGACAGAATGCTTTGTAACTCTAAAGGAAATAGACTTTTATAGTCATAAATGTTGCGTCGATTCCTTGAATTACCGTATTGAACGGATTATTTGACACCATATTTGCCACATTAAGATCAAAACAAAATAATAGCGAGAGTGAGTTTAATTTACAATATTTGAATTAACGCCAATATCATACAAATGTTTTTTTTATATAGTTTTCATCTTTAATTTTTTTAGCTGTTGCATTCCTTGGAATATGCCAAAAGAGTAAACAAATTAGACGCCTGACCACCCATGAATGCTACACATAATTATAAGACTCTTGATTTCATAAGACTTCGTACAAGTTTCTTTCCTCACATTTTTTCCAACTCTAGTGACTCAATGGAGATGCCATCCCAATATTTCTAGAATTGTAAAAGGAATGTCACATTGGATACGGTATGATGATGATACATCCGTGTAATCACCTTTAGATGTAAAACGCCTTAAATGTTTTAAATTTAAAAATGTTTAGTGAGGTAACTGAATATCTGAATTCTAGTATTTCCCTAAACTCATTTGGAAAAAAAAAGTTCACGTGTAAAACACGCAACTATTATGTATCACCCTGCGGTAAACAATTAAAATTGTATACTAATTGCTTCTCTATAGTACAAAACCTGTTCATTATAATCAGTCATTAGAATTGGAATCAGTAGTTACCTAGAAACTAGGTTCAGTAATAAAAAAATATAAAAGGAATAGTGCTGCATGATTACTAGAATAATTTCATAAATATTAAAGGTACTTGCAAACTTCGGGAGTTTTCTGTCTTTGAAAAGCAAGAAACTATAAAAAATCAAAGCACAGAAGGCGCTGAAGTTGTTTGGGTCTCAGAATGTCAGAAAGGTGAAGGTTGTGAGATTATAAACCAATTTGTTTTTGTATAGTGCCACCAATGCTTTCCAGCGTTTTAGTTGTAGTAAATTGGCTATAAGACTAATTGCAACACTGATATTCAATTCAATGTTTATTTGACTTAAACAATTTGAACAAAATGAGTTGCCTTAACTGGGATTTGAACTCCAGACCTCTCGCTTCCTAAATGAGCGCGCAAACCCTCGGCCACGGTGAAGTTATATGTCAACGGTCTGAAGAAAACCATATATTCTAAATTAGGGTTTGTAACCCTTAATATTTCGACGCTAACTGTTGTTTAACACAGATGTAAATAATCACGGAGCTTACTATTAAGCATGTATAGCTTTAAAGAATAAAACAATATTAGAAATCTTCGACCATTTGGGAACTATTTTGCTTGAAAATTAATGCGCCTGTCATTTGACCATCTTTACGCAGTGATCTCCCCTGAATTTTTCGGCGTAGTGTACATATAAAGGGTAGTAACCGCTTCAAAAAAGCTGACTACTTTCGGCATTTGCAATTAAAAGCATCAGTGTCTGAAATTTCGCTACCATTATTTGTTTGGTCTGATGACCCAAACAAATAAAATTGCTAAATTATTAGAAGGACGCTTTTTGTTCGCGAATGCGGTTCAAGAAATATATCCAATTGCATAAAAAGAAAGCAAATATGTGAGCCGCAATTCTAACTTTTCAATGTTAATCCGAGCAGATTTCGTCTAAATCTAAAGAAATCCGTATTTTTCATTGTGAAAGAAAAGAACAAAGATGGACAAGGCAACATGGCATTCACTCACAGAACGTAGCTTTACTCAATATGAACTACGACGGGAAAAGTCTAAAGTTAACAAATCATCGTATTTTGATTTAAATAGACGCATGCGACGCACCGGCGAAATCATCAACTATAACCCATAAAATAGTTATGGTATATTTGTTTATAAATACGAATAAAGTTAATTTTGAAACTGATAATATTAACGTGCGTGGTTTGACAATATTTAGTTTATAATGTATAAACACTTTATCGCTATACTTAACATACAAAAATATTTTCTTTATTGTTAAAGTGGGTATTTTAATGACCGAGTCAAAGACAAAATTTTAACCTTAAATACGTTCAATTATATCAATTTCATGTTTTATTATGAGCAAGGAAGGGAAGCATATTTAGACATCGATAAATTCCAGAAGGTACCAATATATAAATAATAAAAATATTATGTAGTAAAGCGTAGAGGAAAGAATAAATATATATATTTAAATATTATAAATATAATTTATATTTGGTTTTAATTCTTCAAATGTGTAATGGACACTTTAAACTACCTTTACATTTTTAATATTCACGAACAAAATATATTTTTGGAAAACAATATTTTGGAAATTATGTACACTATTATATTTATATTTAGTTCTTTTTGACCTTACACTAGAAAAATGTGTTAAAATTAACCAAAATGTTTGGACTGTAACAATACATACATTATTAAACCAAGTCATTAAAATGATCTAGTTGATAATACTAGACAACGTATAAACATTACGAAAACAATGATTGAAACAAGAATTGAAGAAAATGTCTCCCACGAAAAAAACACAAGAATTCAATATAGCTACGAGTCGACATTTAGTTCAATAGATAGGATATTTTGTTCCAGTTTTATTTCAACAATGAATAACAAAATACAAAATGTTCCTCTTACAAATCCTGTTTACAGACAAAAAATATATTTACCTACATTATGTTATTTTGTTTCGCGAGAACTAGTCTCTTACTGGTATTTTTTTTGCTGAGCTATGTGTGACTGTCCTCTTTCACAGACATGCTCTGAATTAAACGGAAATTATAATTTCACATTTTGCGCACATTCTGTCGGTCCAAATACATTTACTTTATAAAAAGAAACTAATTGGCATTTTTGCTTTATGTTTTTTATTGTTGCAGTCTGCTTTCAAAGTTTTTGGATCGTCATCATCAAAATTACCATCGCCTCAAGCTTTCTCATTATCAAAACAATAATCACATCTATTATCTAAGAATCATCATCACATCCACCATCATTTCCATAATAATAAATTCATACTCTCCACATACATCTCATCATCACTTTAATAATAATCACGTCCGTCACCGTCAAAATCATTATCACTCCATAAAAATCATCAAAATCTAATTATCATCACCTTAATCATAACTAACATCATCATGAAAAATCTTCTTCAAATGCACTAACATTATAAGAATCATCCGTATCATCAGTACTATCATCATTATAAAATCATTAACTTCGCCATAATCGTCAACATCATCATCATCATAATCATCATCATCATCAACATCATCATTATCATCATCAAAATCATACTGATCACCACTTCCATGATCATGGTAATCGCTTAATTACATTATTATAATGTCTTTTAATGTAAAGAACGGGGTTTGATAAGCCGTTTATTTCAGCTGATATACTTTTCAGCATCAAATCAAAAAAATATCAGATATATGTTTAACC